TTGAGTTTTTCTTTTGTTAACTTTCCTGTGCAAAATACTTTAGAGTTATTTTTTGGAATTTCACTCCGAAGAAATTTAATGGGAATTTTTTTAAAAATTGTTAAAAAATTAATATAAAAATTATAAAATTATTTATTTATTAGTTTAAATTTAAATAAAATTTATTTTTAATTAGATGGAAAACATATTTATTTTAAAAAAATTATATTATTAATGAAAGTTTATCTTTTAAAAATTTTGATTTATTTTTATTTTTTTAATAGTAGTAAATTATTTTTAAAAAATTTAAATTTGATATAAACTTATTTAAAGACACTTTAAGTTTTTAATTTTGGAGTGTGTGAAGTCAAAGAAAATTTAAGTTTTTTTCATTTTACAAAAATTCTAACAAATGGTATAAGAGCATTTCTTGATTATAAGTCTATAAGAAAAAATATATTTATACATATATATAAAGAAAATAAAAAAGTTTCATATATCAAATATAATCTCAAATACTTTTTTCTTGGTTTCACCTCTCATTTTTACAAAAGAAAATTATCAATTATCCCGTGTGAAAATGCAAACATATTTACAATCTTTTAATTTGTAAGATGTGGTTGAAAATGATGGAAATTAAAAAGAAATGTTCTAAGGAATTTTGATGAAAAATACATTAAATAATTAAAGAAATCATGAAAAGTACATAAATAATCGGATGTTGGTAAAAAGTGTATCAACAATTGAAGAAGTGCTTTAAAATGTAAATATCGAATAAAAAATATTAGAAAGAAGTGTTCAAACAAAATAAATTTGGTGATTATAATTTTTATATTAAGGTAAAATTTTAAAAATTAATGTAAAAATTATAAATTATTTTATTTATTAATTTGAATTTAAATAATATTTATTTTTAATTATATTTAAAACATATTTATTTTTTAAAAATTATATTATTAATAGAAATTTATCTTTTAAAAAATTTAATTTATATTTATCTTTTAAATAGTGATAAATTATTGTTAGAAAATTTAAATTTAATGTAAATCTATTTAAAAGTATTTTAAGTTGTTAATTTTAAAGGGAGTGAAGTCATTAGAAATTTAGATTTTTTTCATCCTAAAAAAATCTCAACAGGAATAATTTTCAGATAATTGAGATTATTGGCTTTTCAACTCAGCTCGTAACTTTTTTATGTGAAAAAAAAATCTATTAGACAATAAACTTGTAATGTAATAAATCTTTTATTCCATTGTTTGTTTAGACTAAGTTCTGTAATTAAGGTCAAAAGATGTAATTATAATTATAGATCTTAGTCTACGTGATCAAAGGTTATATTAAAAGAATAAAATGTAAATCCGACAATAGAACGAATTTTATTAAATTCAAACTCAAGTCTATTTATATGAAAAATAAATTTAAATTCATCCATACGAAAAGTAAATCTGAACCCATTATCGACTAAGATGATTTATTATTTTTTTTTAGACGGCATCAGATTTATAAATTATTTTTTAATTTAATTATTTTAGTATATTAATATTAATATAATTATATATATGTTAATAAAAATATATTTATTATATTAGATAATTCGAATATATTATGTTGGATAGGTTTTGGAAGCTTAAACTCGTATTTGTTTACCCACTTTTCTTTTCTCGTCAATGTGAATCAGACTAAACTCAAATTCCAACTTAAACCAAAAAATATATTATATTGGATTCATGTAAATATTTGTAGCAACAAAAACTAGTGCTGACACCAATAATTGAGTAATGTGCTGCTTGTGATTTCATAATCCGTGCCAATAGGGTTTTAAGTGTGATTTTAGATCATATAGGAGACCAATTTTTCACATACATAATGTGTTTCCTTAAATTTTAAGTATATATATTTTGAATCAAAATTTTAAGAAGATTTTTATAAGAAAATTGTGAACTGATAACCATCAAAAATTCATTTTTTCCCATTAGTATTTATTAAATTATATGTATTATTTTTGACGTAACAACATCGAATGATGAAATATTAATTAATTCCGAATTGCGCATCTCATAAAACATTATATCTGTTTCAAATTCTTAAAAAACAAAAACTCGTGCACAGGAAAGTTTCAAAGTGTAATTGTTTTACCTTGTCTGATTAGTGAATTTTGCAATGTTTGTGAAATTTTTTCATGAATATAAAGCACTATAATGAGTCTAAATTTACCTTATACTGCTAAACAAAAAAAGAACTTCCAAATATTATCTTCAGTTTTTTTTTTTTTTTTTTTTTTTTAAATTAGTTACTATTTGAGTAAAAGATAATCTATCTTCAGAGCCTATAAAAACATGTTAATCTGACAATATCAGAACCTCTCATCCAAATATAACTCTTAACCATTTTCTAAAAATTATTTGCAAATCTACTTTAACTCGCTGGATTTATTTCAAACATTGCCAAAGCAACAGCAATTAACTGAATATTGGAGATTATAATTTGATTGATTGATTGATTACTGTTCCTTTTTGTTAAACATTGTTCCCGGCTAAATAGCAACAAACCCTCGTGAAAAAATCAGTTTACCATTTCCACCTACTGTTGCCAGTGCAGAATGCCCTGTGTTGGATTATCCGAATTTGCCCATCTCCATCTTCTTCTTCTTAATTGCTCTTTGACCATGATATATGAACGAGTCTATAATCCCCGCAACCGTGAAAATACCTAATTGACAATCAAAATAACTTCCATTTAAACAAGAAAGATAAATTAAAGAACAACAGTTACCATAGAGGAGTAATGCCTAAATCTTAATCCAAAAGGAGAAAACCTGTGACCATCATTAACTGTCTGATATAAGCACCATATTGACTAATCCAAGGGAATATATTTCCTATAATAGGCTGGACAATTGGATTATCAGAACTATTATAACATTTCACGTTACTGGGGAGAGGAACCGGGTGTACTCTACCACAAAATTTATTTATATTCGGGGTTATGAATGTGATAAAAGAATGTCTGACACTACTGAAAAAAATGTGTTAAAATGCTCTAAGTTAAGAGTAACTAAATTCTTATTTAGAAAATAAAAGTTACAAGTTAGTATAAAGTGCTGATTACAAAAAATGAGGAATTATATTTTGCAAAAACTAATAAAAATATATGTATTACAAATACATTGTTAGTTTTAATATGATATCAAGAGGGTAATTAAGTAAAATGGTTAGATAAAAAAGCATAAAAACAAAGAGAATTAGTATTTGGGTGTTTATTTTCTACTTCAAAGTCACTTTTAATAACCTAAGAAGTACCCTATTTTGTGTTACCAAACACAAATATTGAAGTAAGGATATTGAAAACTATTTATAAGCACCAAATAAACAATCACAAACACTCTCTAAAATGTCTATAATGTTTTAGGCAGAGTGGGACTAAAAGATAAAGAGATGATAATACCTCCAATAACTGCACATATGTGTGTCATCAAGTGCAGGAATGAAATATGTTCCTCTTTAAAAGTAACCTGCAATATGAAAAATCGTCCAATTCTCAGGAAAGTGAATCAGCTAATATATTTTTCTAATAAATCAGCTAATATTTAAATTCATCCAAGTAACTATCTTGTCACCCTCTGCACAAATGGAATCATATAAGAATCAGGGAACAATTAAATTGGGTTACCAATTATACGAAAGATTCCAGAATCCCATATAAGTATAGAAGATTAAAATCTTTAAAAGGAAAGCAAAATGGAAAATTTTTAGTTAATGTCAGCTGAAACACCTAGAGTCTCATGAAAGCTTCATATCAGAAACTCAACTAGGCTGCTAGATATTGACAAAGGAACCCACCTTAATTGGGGAGAGGTCATAGACAAAGAAAACTCCCGAAACTGAATCAAAGTGGACAACCTCTGAGTTCCTAAAATGTTCTGTCACCGAGTACTGCACATTGCAAATACCCCTAAATTTCAGAAAATGATCCAATGAATAGACGAGAAGCAAATGTTTTTTATCATCAGTTTCTAGCAACACCTGATTTGAATGCACAGTTCGGCCTCTTATATCGGTATATATTGTAGGGACCACCTGCATAGTTAACCAATTAATCTGTGTGAGAACCTCATTTAAAACATGAACTAATGTAAATAACACCATCAACCGCACAGCATATCCATACTGCACCAACAAGCAAATTCTCCACCTTGCTTTTCCAAACTTAAGTTTATGTGATCAAACTTCTGCAAGCTAGATTTCTTTCATTCAAGATATCAACAAATATTTAATGGCTGAAGTTTTAAATTTGTCAAAACAACTCTCTCAGAGAACAGTCAAAACTGTTGGACTAGATTTTCTTTCAGTAATCACAACGATTACTAAAAATCTGGAGTTATTTCTAGGTGATATATTGAAACAGATAAAATGAATAGTTCTAATTGAAATTGATGATGCAGTTACAGGAAAGAAAAGATGATTCTTGGAATGGGTTATACTTAATTGAGTTACATTTCTTTTATTTTGTTGGAGTTCCTATATCTTCTTTCTAGTTGTTAAACTTTCTTCCATTCCTGATTTTTACTTTTAGGGGCACATTTTGGTGTGAGATACAGTCAATACTTCCTTCGGCAGCGTATATCAGTGACTGTTAAGATAAAACTTGTAACCAAGATGTTCATAAGTTATGCACGTTTCTAATACCAACAAATGCTAATAGCCTTCCTACTAAGTGCATCAAAAAATCTAAAGAAGGGCAGAAAAGTTTCATATCTGATTCAGGGAAACCCTGGGAGTAGTGTGAGATATATGTATATATATAGATAGAGAGAGAGATAAAAGTATTTAACCAGAAAGAGAGGTACAACCCTCAATAGTACAAACCTTGATAAAATACTGGTACATACCACTCGGGGTTTGATGCACCCACTGGACCCTGAAAAGGTAAAATGAATTGAATAGAGATTTTTATTGAAAAAATATATTATGAATTAGTTTAAATAGGCAGACGTAGTCTCAACTCAAAATTTTGACGTCACAAAATGGTATGAATGAAACCAAATATTCCAAATAGGAATTCTTGTCTCTTTCTCACCATATCTAGGTCTTCTTTTCTTAGGCAAACCATGATCTAATAGAAGCCATAAAACTGCCATATGCCAGATACTAGAGCTGGCCACAGTGAAGCTACATTTTGGCTTAATATTAAAAAATAATTTGAACACCCAATCTTAGTATCAGAACAAAACAAGTTTACAAGCATAGCCACAGAGGATGAAAATAATAAGAAGGAAGTTAAAGAATACATGCAAAGAAATAACGCACAGCCAAGTTTAATGCATAACCTACCTAAGGACATTAAACAATTTCCCAAAAAATTGAGACAGCAAAAATAAATTCTAATTTTGATGAAAGATATGGAAGCAAAGTGAGAAAGACTCACCCATCCAGGGGATTTACTACTCCAGGAAAATAGTCACCAAAAGCCAATCTATTGATGCGATGAGTTATCTGTATCATGCACCATAAGGTTTAAAACTAGGTAAAACTAAGCTAAAAAGAAAGGGATACAGCAGGACAGACGTTAAAATACCATTCTCTATATTTATGGGGAAAAAACACGAGATGTCTCTTACATTATAACTATCTGTTTGGAAAACTAAATCATTGAAATGAAGATTTGATTGCTGAAAGCTCTTCCCAGCAACAAAATGGAAATTTCCAGCAATTCTGTTAACTTCCAAAGATCCAAAAATATTACATCCTTCACCTTCTTCATCTTTGATCTTCTGGAAAAAGCCTTCTCTTGTGCACTGAAAGGCAAAGCACATGGAACAGTTCAGAAACTATATAAAGCAAAAAAGAAGTCCAACAATTTTTATAGTTTCACAGCCAGGCACGAGAAGAAGCATTTCAGATCAGAATGCACATGGTAAAGTTCATTGTACTTGGTGATTAAATTCAGGAATTCACAGTTCTACCTCAAGAACTGCACAAAAATAAATGGACAGCATTATGCCTTTGCAGCAAATAAAGTGAGCCACCATGACTGGATCATTGGAAAATCAATTGACTGGCAACCATCATTTATTATTCTGTAAACGAGTTCAATAACACGGAATCTATAACACAAAGAACAAGTTGCCTGCTCCGCATCAAATACACTCATTTGTGGTTCCAGATCTGCGAGGGGTTCCTTTGTCTAAACACCAAGGTTCTAAATGAATAGATAAAAGATAATCAATGCTGCAAGCGGCATTCAAGTCACTAATACATTTGAAAGTGAGTTTGGTATCTGTAGTGAAATGGCAATTACGATTTCGAAGATTTCCCAGAAACCCAACTTGCTTTCAAATTTGAGGCCAATACCTTTCTTATGAACAACAAATTATTTTTTGAAAATGAGATAGAAGTATATTGAAGAGGACTAGGTGTCTTCAACAATAAAAGAATACTGAAAGGAGAAAACGCCCTGATAAAAAAGAAAGTTCAATAAAGAAAGGCTAACTAATTCCTAAGAGAATAGACAAAGAAATATCCTTGTACATCGCATGCACCTTAAGCCAAGCAAAGCCAAAAGATTCCTCTTTTCTTCCACTTTATACAATCATTAAGATTTCTTTCTCAGGTGTTTGAAGTGAAGGCAACAACCATTCAAGGAAGAGATGTTGCTGGAATTGCACTCTTTAAATAATTATCTCCAAATAAAAAAGGACAAAAGATAGCACAGTATTAATATGTATACTTTTAAAGTGACGACCAGATGTAATAGCTTATATCCTGCCCTTTCTTTTCTTATTTGGATTTAAAAAGAGATCACTAGGAAAGAGAACCAGACGAACACCACTGAAGGCAAAGAAGATATCCTGTTAAATTCTAGCACCTTTACTTGGTTGTGCCCAAAAAGAGTTTGGAAAAATCAAGCTTTCAAACTGACCTGGTCAATCAAATCTGCATTTGTTAGCCCCCAACCTTTTTTCCTATATGCTTCACGAACCTCTTCACATGTGTTACAGCAATCATCATCCGTCTGCAAAATAGATGTGTACAAATATATATATATATATAGAGAGAGAGAGATGGATGGATAAGTAAATAGACTTTTGAAGAACGAAAAAATTAGTTTGATCAGGATAACACTTAGAAGACCGAAGCATCTTTATGTTTCACTTAAGAAAACCAATTTAAACATAAAAACCCATGTTAAAAGGCAAAATAAAAAACATGATGAGAAATCTAGATAGCCGCAACAAAAATTAATTTTTTTTTTCAAAATTTCATTTAGGTGATGATTAGATGTCAAATAGTTAACACAAAAGTTTTAAATCCATGCATCTTGCACCATGAAAAGAAAATTTTTTCAGGCCCCAAGATCTTGAATTTGTAACACTTGTTACCAGATAAAGCTGCTCCTAAAAATGAAAGGACAAGATCAGGAAATATTGAGAAAGATTTGCTTCAGAAACATAAATAGGGCAAGCTCCCAGCCCCATACCATTCAAATAAATAATCCTGATAGTGATGGTGATGGTGCTGGTGATGAATCTTACAGAACACGACATCTAAATTTATCAACCAAGGTTCAAACATTTTTTTCCTGAATGAACATAGGTTTAAAACAGCAAACCATGATTCAGAAATTTTCTTCCCCTCTAAAAAACATTGGATGTTTGGAGGGAGACAGGGAACTAAAATAGTTCTCTGACTAGTTTTTTAGCTAACCAGTTTGAAAGTTTTTATCAGTGCTCAACTCATATTACTGCCATATGCTTCCAAATCAAGTAGACAAGTGATACCAGACCATATAATTATTACCATTTCTGCACCATAACATGAACCACAATATTTTTCATTGTGTTCAAGCCTGCCACCATGCCTCTGCAAGGGTTTCTCAATCTGCACAAAATAAACATAAAATAAGAGAGACAAACATTAACCAGCTAACAAATAAGAAAAACTAAAAGAGAGATGATTTTGACTGACGTATGCATAGTGTAAAAATAAAGAATATGAAAACAGTAGGAGAGATGGTAAGATGAGTAAATACATAACAGAAAAATCCTTTGGACCAGACAGAAATGAAGATATAGTATCTAAAAGATAATGAGAGTCCTTAATAATACACTTGCATAGCTTCCAATTTTCAATCAAAATAGCTTGTAGATCTTTCTGTGGCAAATCTTCAGTGCCTTTCGAATAATAGTTGTGTTTTTATCAAACAGGAAGAGTTTTTAGCTTCAACACATCCTTGTACCATTTTTATGTCGAAAATTTTTCTTCACTACCATCATCACATATCTTACCCACAACGTACTTGGGAATTTTCGCTTATAAGCCCTGCAGAATAGCCTTTTTAGCTTTTATATTCTTTCCACCAAAATATTATTGAAAAGGTTACCAAATTTTTTCCATTTGTCAATTATAGCTATTTTACCAACTTTTCAACTTCTAAGCACTCATTCACCAAAAAAAAAACAACTTAAACTATCAAAATGGAGCTTATAAAGCAAACGAAAAACAACTTAACAAAACATATTAAACTTATTTTCAAAATCTTATAAGCTCCATTAGTTTATAAACTTCATGTACTTCTACATTAAACCGATAAATAAAGCCAATCCAAACAGCCCATTAATATGATTTAGGTCTAATCTTTTGGTTCTAATAAGATATTATTTTGGTTTACCATGTCATTGCATCATCCTTGTTCAGGTAGTCCTTGGATCCATTAACCTAACTTGCATTAAAGATCATTTTAACTTATCCTCTCTGCTTTCTCAATCTCTTTTAACCATTTAGATCTTTCAATCAAGCTCTTCCTGCTCAATATTCAAACTTTTAATTGAATGCCACCAAACAATTTTTTATGAGAAATTGCTACCAAACCCCATCATTTCACCACTCCATTTGTTTCATTATAACCACTCCCTTCGGGTCTCATAAAACACCTAAAAACAATACTTGGACCATTTCATCTGCACTATTTTAATGAAAACGACCACTAAGTTCTTTCTTCAATTGACTATGCCAGTAAGAAGGTAGATACCGAATGAAAGGAAGTCAAACTAAGAAACAAATTGACTACATATATTGCAGTTCTTTCTTCAGTTGATTGCGTCAATAAGAAGGTAGATATCAAATGAAAGGAAGTCAAATTAAGAAACAAATATATTACACATATTGCATTAATATTTTCCTATAGATACATACATCACGAAAGAAACATAATGGAAAATGAAGTCATCAGCTTTTTTAAAAAACAAAAATTTTGGAATAGCTAAAAAGGTAGGATGTTGTAAGTGGTACTTATCAAACAGATTCAAGACGTAAAATACATACTTTGACACAGAAATAGCAACAAAAACAATACTTCTTTCTACTAACCTTTGGTGCCCCAATCCCATCTTGCCTGACTTCAATGACATCACCATGAGAATTAATTCTTCTCTTTATTATGTCATGTCTCTACAAATAAAGGTCATGAATCAGTAAAAGCAACTAAACCAATAAAACTGGAGAAAACAGAAACGATCAGATGCACCAAAATGAATAAAAACTGAATGGTTAAAGAGAAGCAGCATTTCATATAACAGCCATAGGTTGCATTACATACTATATCACGATGCTGCTCTCCACTGATGTCCATTGCATCAAGACTGAGTAATGTACAAGGAATAGCAGGAAAAGTGACATCAAACTGCAAAATAAAAAACATCCAGGAAGTTAATCACTAAAACATAAATGGTTGTCCTTGCAAATTTTTAAGGGAAAAAATTAACCATTATGCAACCTAAAATTCTGTATATTTAAAGAACCAACTAACCTGAACCTTCCTTTCTAATTATCCTCATATTTAAAGACTGAAGCAAAGCAAAATTTTAAAACTTGGATGTTCTAGGATTTTTTTTTTCCAAAAAATGCCGTAGGAGCTCAATGTCAAAAGAAAATATCCAATACTGTTTCCCAACATTAAAAGCTCAGTGCGATCCCAGAACACCTTGCATATGTTCACAGCTCCCATATATAAGATGCAGAGTTACGCAAACTTGTTAATTGGGCATTTAAGGAAAACTTCTGTTTGCAGGAACCTAGATTAGCTCCATTTGGGATGATGTTTTCAATTAGGTTTCTGAACGGCTCAACTGCTGGTGGGGAGGTCTATTTTCTTTAGGGGGTAGAGTCACTTCAAAATCAAAACATGTCTATACATTATTCCTAATTATTGATCTCTATTTAGAATTCTTGTCCAATGCTGAGTTTGAAGAGGATTATATATAAGTTCCCCTGAACTAGGACTTAGGAGGTTTCAAGAGATCAACTGATAGAATGGGAAGTGTATTGTCTTTCTAGAAACAATGGAGGCTTGTGCATTGGGAATTTGGTATCATAGAATTTATCTCTATTGTCAAAATGACTTAAGTGTTTTCTGCAGGAACTTTGTTCTCTTTGGCACTGGGTAATTAAAAGCATCCATGGTAATCACAGGAATGGAAGGGATTCCATTGCTAGAAATTTCATTACCCACAAAATCCCTATAAGGCCATCTCCCGTGTATAGGACTTGTTCATTCCCCTTACCCGCCTTAGAATGGGAGATGAATCACGCATATTGTTTTGGAATGATTGCTACATAGTCAATAACTCATTAATCAATCGGTTCCCACACTTATATAATGTATGCTCATGTTATAATCTCTCTATCTCTTTGCCTTTTTAGTCACATGGACAGGAATCTCCTAAATTTTCTTTTTTGCAAAAACCTTAGCAATAAAGAAGCCATTGATATGCTAACCTTACTTTTTACTCTTGGAAAATTTCCATTATTCTCACTATCTTTTTTTTTTCTTTTGAGATAAAAAAATATACGAAGTATATGATTGCACCAAGGTGTCACCCATTTACAAGATATTTACAACTCTATTAATATCTCAATGACTTTTCCAAAATCCTCCATTCTATAAATGTCATGATCAAAATAGTGTATCCATCTATCCTTAACTTTAGGCCTGTATCTCTCAATTCTCTCAAAAGTTCTACTATTCCTCTTTTTCCAAAATATTCAAAAAATAGTCAAATGAATAAGATTTACATATTTTTTTTTACATATCCCCTCCCAATCCCATAACTCATCCTTCACCGACCCTGCAATAACCCAATTAATCCCTAATAAACCATATAACATTGTCCAAAGATTATACACCACTAAACACCAAAGGATAATATGGTTACAAAATTCAGCAGCTTTCTTGCACAGATAATAGCCGTTCACCATTGTTCTACTCCTTATCGGTTTATCAATAGTCAAAATGTATTCTCTTCCCACTTCTCAAGCAAAAAAAATAAAAAAAAAAACAAAGCAATTCTTGGAGGAGTCTTCACTTTCCAAATTTGATTATTTGGCAACCGGATCAACCAATCCTAATCTCTTCGCACCAAATGATTATAAAAGGACTTGATAGTGAACTCCCGTGCTTCTTCAATTTCCACAACATCTGGTCCCAACTGTCATTCAAGTGCACAGTGGACAAAAGATGAAGTAATACCTCATATTCTTCAGTCTCCAAATCGTTGAGGTTCCTAGTTACATTCACAAACCACTCCCTGTTACCATTTCCCTCTCTATAGGCTTCCTCAACAATGATATTCTTAGATTATTTTTTTAATCACTCCTAATCTCTTCGCACCAAATAATTATAAAAGGACTTGATAGTGAACTCCCGTGCTTCTTCAATTTCCACAACATCTGGTCCCTACTGTCATTCAAGTGCACAGTGGACAAAAGATGAAGTAATACCTCATATTCTTCAGTCTCCAAATCGTTGAGGTTCCTAGTTACATTCACAAACCACTCCCTGTTACCATTTCCCTCTCTATAGGCTTCCTCAACAATGATATTCTTAGATTATTTTTTTAATGCATGATATTCTTAGATTATTTTTTTAATGCATGATATTCTTAGATTATGCAATGGCAAAAATCTTCAGGAATTGATTTTTGA